ACAAAGACTATCTATCTCCTTCCTCCATACTTGGTGTGGTCTGCCAATGGCCAGCGAAATACTAAACAGTTAAGAGCAATTAAGTTCTTCTGCTTTAGTCTCACTGTTATTCAAACCTCTTCTTTCCTTCCCATTTCATCAGCTCTGCTCTCTTCCTCTTTAAATCTCCAGTATTGTCTCTCAGGATTTTTAATGGCTGGTATATTCCTAAAGTCAAGTGTTTCGGGGACGCCTGGGTGGCTCAGTCGGTTAAGCGTCTGCCTTTGGCTCAGGTCATGATCCCGGGGTCCTGGGATCGAGCCCCACGTCGGCTCCCTGCTCAGCGGGAAGCCTGCTTCTTCCCTCTCCCACTCCCCCTGCTTGTGTTCCCTCTCTCGCTGTCAAATAAATAAATAAAATCTTAAAAAAAAAATAAAGTCAAGTCTTTCACAAGCCATGTTCTAATGTCCACTTTATAGGTTCAATCATTCATTGTGCAGTATTAGGCCATTTGGTTTCCACACATTTTCTAGGTTTTCCGTGTAATGTGATGTCTTACCAATGGGACTGAACTGCTATAAATAATGTGATGACAGGCTATTATCTATTCAAGATGGAAAAGTTGGGTACATTTTAAGATTTAAAAAAAATAAGGATGTCCTCCAGCAGCATCAGTTTTAAAAGCATTTTTCTTAAAACTAGTTATTTCCCATCTTTGTTTTACAATATCTCAATGTATTTCAAGGTATTTGAAGGTATTTCAAGATGTGCGATTCTCAAAGCAAAATTCGTATGAATTCATTATATGAAATACATATATTGTGGGGCGCCTGGGTGGCTCAGTCGGTTAACCATCTGCCTTCGGCTCAGGTCATGATCCCAGGGTCCTGGGATCGAGCCCCATGTCAGTCTCCCTGCTCAGCGGGTAGCCTGCTTCTCCCCCTGCTTGTGCTCTCTGACAAATAAAATCTTTAAAAAAATAAATACATGTTGCTACCTATGGCCCTCTCCAGAGTTTTAGAATCACAAGTTCATTCATGGAACATTAACTGAGCACGTATTATGTGCTAGGCCCGGTGCTGAGGAATATAGAGAAAAGATGAAAACACTGTCTCAGCCCTTGAAAAATTCAGTCTAGCAGGAAAAACAGATATACATGGTAATTAGGATATGATGTGACAAGTGTTAAAATGCTGGTAGATAAAAAAGCTCTAGGAGCATAAAGAAAGTGCCAGGCTGCCTTAAATAGGAGTTTGCAGTAGGAGTGGAGAGGGGGGTGAATTCCAGGAAGATGTGTAGAAGCATGAAAGGGATTCTTAAGATGAGCTTTGGCACAGCACATGGTTAAAAAATAGCCTGTATGGAGGAGTGGCGGGAGATGGTGAAAAATCCTGTAAGCCAAGTTCGGGGGTGGAGACTTGCTTCTGGGTGCCAGTGGTTCTCAAAACGTGGTACCGGACCAGCAGCAGCAGCTTCACCTGGGAACTTGCTAGAAAAACCAATTCTTGGGTCTCAGGCCAGACCTGCTGCCCCAGAAATCCTGGGGTTGGGGCCCAGTCACCTTTGTTTTCACACGCCCTCCGGATGATTCAAATGCATACTGCACTTTGAGAACCACTACTTCGGGTGATGGGCAACCTCTGAAGGGTCTTTTTTTTTTTTTTTAAGATTTTTATTTATTTACTTGACACAGAGAGAGAGACAGCTAGAGAGAGAACACAAGCAGGGGGAGCGGGAGAGGGAGAAGCAGGCTCCTGGCTGAGCAGGGAGCCCGATGCGGGGCTCGATCCCAGGACTCTGGGATCATGACCCGAGCCGAAGGCAGACGCCTAACGACTGAGCCACCCAGGCACCCCCTCTGAAGGGTCTTAAGCGGAGAACGGACTGGATAAGATCTGGAGTAGGAATCGGGTTGCCGCTGACCAGTTAAGCACAACAGCGGGCTCCAGAGGAGTTACAGGAAAAACCAAGTCACCCTTGAATCAATGTGGCATGAAGTGAGGGCCTAGATGAAGGCAGGAGGAATGGAGAGGAAACCGATTTTAGAGATGTTTTACAGGTGGCCCAGATTCAATCAGGTGACTAGGCTATATCCATACGAAGGTGTGACTGCAAGGGTTTTCACATAAAAGCTGTAACCTTGTCGAAGGTATCAACCACTAGGTGTTTTAAGAAAGGAGTGTTCCACACAGTCCCTAGAAAAAGGGGGGAGATGGAGCACAATGTCTGTGTTTCCATAGCATCAAAAGCAAAGGGTACCCGGGCTTATCCACGAGTCATCTTGGTCAGCTTGGCAGTTCGACTTCTCACGGGAAGTTAGTCAACTGGTGTTCATATATTAACATAAAAATCTTTTGTAAGTTTGGTTAGCGTGAATCAATCCTTGAGACTGCCAATTTTGGGATGTGCTGGCAAAATTAAATCTCAAACGCTGCAAAGCTGAAAAAGGCCATTGGTCCTGGGGATCTATGTACCCAAGGCACTGCCAAGGTGAGACCCTGCTAGAGCCTTCTTTTCATCCTAACTTCATCACTGATCACATAGCCCACTTAATTCTGGAAGAAGCTGGGATGAAGAACCACGCTGTACAATGCCCTAAAGGTCAACAAAGTCGGGTGTGAACTGTTCTTTCTAATTTTGGAGGCAGGATTTAGCTGAGGCAATCTTCAATTTCCTGACCGAGAGGAGAGAGGGGTCTAGGTCAACCCATATGGCTAATTTACCTAAAGAGAATTTTGCAGAGCACAATCCCTATTTCTTTAGGACTCTGGATAGCTCTTGTTATGGACTGCATGTTCTTCCAGCTGATACCAATAACTTGGCTTATTTGACCATCTTATTTTGTCCAAGAGTAGTTCCCAATCAAAAACTGCACTATTTTATGGAATTTGAGAGCCATAAGGGACCCTGGAGATTAAACAAAACTTTCATATTACAGATGAGGAAACAGAAGGCCTCAAAGAGTAAATCACTTCATCTATTTATTATAGGGCAAGATTCTCTACAAGATAGCAAAACAAGATTCAGAGCAACACTGATCATCTGCCCATTTAAATTTTAGATGATATGTAAAATTCCTCTATTTTTCATCTTAAACATTTTAAAAAAACAGAAAAAAAGAGCAAATTACTTTATTGGGCTATTATAGGATGGGGAAGCTTTTCTTGTAGTTTCTTAATTGTTTTTCAGAAATTAGAGTTAAGGGGCACCTGGGTGGCTCAGTTGGCTAAGCGTCCGACTCTTGATTTTTGGCTCAGGTCATGATCTCAGGGTCCTGAGATCAAGCCCCACCTCGGGCTCCATGCTGGGTGTGGAGCCTGCTTAAGATTTTCTCTCTCTCTGCCTCCGCCCCCACCCTCTCAAAAAAAAAAAAGAATTAAATGTCAAAGCTTCAGGAGAAAACCGTTAAAAATAAAAAATTGGGGAAGAAAATGTGCATGAACAATTCAGGGGGAGAAACATGCATTATTTTATAAGCCGTCTGTTCTGTTTTCGGTCTTCACCTACAAAGGGGTAACTTTATACTGAATATTGCCCATTACATCTAATTATATATTACACGTAAAGGGAATCTATCACCACTACCCCTTACAGATTTGAGAAACTCCATATTTTCAAATATCCTGGTATTTGAGTAAACCTTGTAATTGAGAGTTCCAGAAATGGTTCAGAAACTAGTTTAATCTTATATCCTGTTCGGGTATGTAGAGGTGAACAACTTGAAAGGCACATTTGGCCCCGCTTCCTGTTTTCCAAACTTCCCACTGCTTTCTACCACATATATATGTAATCTAGAAGTTGGTGTCCCCTCCCTGGTCAATATCCTGTATATAGCATTTTATAGGCAGATTTCCAAGCACTTAAAGGAAACATGGAGAAGATTTCGATCAGCAAGAATATACTGAATTCCAGGTGTGCCCTGGCTGAAACAGGAGACTTTCCTCCTTCTCTCTGGAATTCACATTAAGAACGCAATGCATTCCGATAGAACAGGACTGCTTTTTAGGCAAGATCCAAAGGATCCCATTTTCCAGGTCTGCGTCCATCTCTTTATTTCCCTCAACGGGCAAAAAAAAGGGGGGGGGGACCGCTTTCATTTAGTATTTTGCCCTCTCATTCCCCGAGGTGAGGTCTCTTGGCTTCTACTGGGGCCGAAAAGCAACTTCAGTCCCGAGAGGGCAGATTGTCAGTTACTTTACCCAGAGGGGAAACCGCAGAACACTGAATAAGGGCTGGAGGGCAGGAGAGGGAGTCTGAAACGGTCCGTCCTAGGACTGAAGCTCCACCTGATTGGGGCCCAGCCTTTCCAGCCTTCATCCCCACACCGGCCGGCTCCATGTGAAACCGGTCATGTGAGCCTGTTTACAGCCGAGCAGCTGGTGCAACCATCAGGATCCGTGCGGAGGTCCAGGAAGGGGGACGGATGCAGGCCACGTACCCCCGCCACTACTCCGCGAAGGCGTTCGCTCTCCCTCTCTGCCTCGCCACCCCACTTTCACCTCCCTCCAGCCATCCCGGGACGCCTCGCTCCAGCCCCGCCGATTTCCTTCCAGTTGCTCGCCGAGGGGGGGACCGGCTGGGTTGGGGGAAGGAGGAGTTAGGGAGAGGACGGTGTCACCCCGAATGGGGAGTCAGCCTCCCTTCCCTAGCCCTCCTCGCCACATCCGCCGAAGAGTTGTCCCTGGAGTCTCATCCCCGGGGCGACCGAACTCTGCCGGGCGGGCACCGGGAGGATCCGCCCGGGCACGGGAAAGGCACGCACGGGCCGGCCGGACCCTGGGGCCGGGCTCCGCGGGCGGCGGGGCAGCTGACAGTCAGAGATGGGGCAGAAAGGGCTCCATCTGCCCGCTCCCCACCTCCCACCCGCAGCCCGGCGCCGCCGAGCCCCGCCGTCAGTCACAGAGCCAAGCTCGGGGGCTGGGGACGGCTCATTCTGCGCGCGGGGTCTCTCGGCAACGTAACTTCCACGTCTTCCCGAAGTCGGAGGAAGTGGGTGACGGGACGGCGGGGGGGACTCTCACCTCGGCAACCCCAGCTCCTCGGAAAGCAGCTGCGACTGCCCCTCCGCTCCTTTGTCAGCGTCTCTAGGCTGCACTGCCTGCTGGGATACCGGAGGACTCAAATGCCACCTCTCTCCGCCCTCGAGGATGAGCTGCGGTTGGGGGTGGGTGGGAAGAGGGGGAGGAGGTGGAGCCGGGGGCGGGGCCGGAGCCGGGGGCGGGGCCTCCTTACCGCCACCTGGCCTCTCGGGTTTGTTCCTTCCCCGTGCTCCCAACTTCTTCCTGCTGTCCCGCACCTCTCCCTCCCCTCCCCTCCCCTCCCGCCGCCCCTTGAGGAGACCGGAGACCCTTCGTGAGGGTCATCTCCCTTTGCACTTGTCGGGCGGTCACCCTTGATTCCCCAGGCGCGCACAGACACGCACGCCCATACACACAGTGAGTACCCGAGGCTACTTGATTTCTACCGCCCATCTCATCAACCCCCTTTCTCCACTCCGTCCTCGGTGCTACAGGCTCTGTGTAGACCCCATGACCTTTTTTGCTTGGAGCTCCGCAGTAGCCTCCTGGTTGGGCTCTCTGCTTCCACGCTTGCCTTTGCCCACACCATCTCCCAGACGGCAACCAGAGGGATTTATCTAAGCTGTACAGGGGACCTGTTACTTTTCTGCTTAAAACCTTTCAGTGTCTCAGAAGGTGCCCACAATCCCTGGGCATGGGACAGGAGGTCCTCCGTAAACCTTTTCTGATGCACCCCCATACCCTAACGCAATAAACCAGGCCTCCCTGGAAGACAGTGGGGCCGGGGAGCACGCTGCCTGCCCTAAATACTCCCCCTTGACAGGAAGCCGCACTGTCGGTAATGGTCATAGGCCCCTTGAAATATCATCAAAGATGGAATACTCAGAATTAAATGTTAATGCTGTTCAGAAAGGCAGAGGAAGATGCAGCCTGCTTCATGTTCCCTCCCTACAATTAGAAGGCCCAAAGAATTCTCCTCGATTGTCCCACACCAGCAATGGGCTGCCTGGCGTCCCTTGGGCTCAGGCTTCCGATGCCTTTGCTCATCGATTCCCTTCTCTGTCTTTGGAATACCTACCTGTCTTTCAAGGTCCAGTGGAAATGCTACTTCCTCCAACAAACCTTCTAGGATCTTCCGTGAGGACTATTAACTCCAGCTCCATCACCATAGAGCGTTGCTTATACAGCTTTGCAATTCTTCCTGACTTAGGTAATCACTAGTTGTGTATTATGTCTTCCTTTCTCTCCTACCTAAACTGAATTTCTCAAAGTGACCCACAGCTGCCAGCACAATGCCTAATCCAGAAAAGGCATCAGTATAGTTGGATGAAATGAAATCCTTCAACTCCACTGTATCTGAAGCCCTAAGTAGGCCCAGAAAGGAGCCCAGGCCAGGCTTCACTAGGACCTCTTCATTTTGTCCCAGCCACATGTCATTTTGCAAACACAAACTGGTTAGACAGCAGAGCATTGCGATTGCAAAAGATGTACTTCCAAAGCGTGTACTTCCCTTGCAGGTCAGACTGGTTTGTGGTATAATATGTGCTTGTGGAAAATGTAACTGGTACAGTTCACATGAGAATCCAATGTAGACCAATTTCATGGTGACACAGAAAACAACTGAGTCTCTGAAGGCAGAAATACGTCCAAAGCCAAAAAGGAGGCTTTGGACTCCTATTTGCTTCCGGCTACCCTTGGGCTCCGTATCCCTTCAGGCCCTGTATGTCGTGTTATAAAGTATTCTTTTGCAAAAGTAGGCATCTTGCTTTGTGTTGTTCTTGCATCATTTAATGTGTATTTGGTTTTTTTTCTCCAATTATATTACAAGCTACACTCTGGCAGGTTTCCTCGTCCCTAAAATAGGGACAAGAATCTTTGGCCTACCCAGTTTCCTAGGCTTTTAGGAGGTTCTAATGTGGTGATATTTATAGTATATGTGATAATGTAACTATAGGATGCTCTTCAAACGTAAGGTCTGTTTTATTATTAAAAGCCTTTATACTCTACTACTTAGGTATGTGTGTTTGAGATTCCTCATTTGGAATCAAAGCCTTCATTGCAAATTCCTGGGGTAATGCTTTACATCATGGTTTCCCAATTGGCCTGAAGGGAAGAATCACCTGGAGTCCTTGTTAGAAACATTCTTAGAACCTCCCCAGACTTACTGAATAGAAATTTCCAGGTAAGATTCTGCTCCAACAGTTCTAAAGTATAGGCTTTTCTATGCCACCAAAACAATTCTCTGACACTGTCCTACATTTCCTCTCAATTCTGACACTATTGTGAAAATGAATACAGGGAAACCTCACTAAAATGGAGTCAGGGGGTTTGGCAGGGGCAGCTCTCACACCCTACCCTCGTTGTCGATTACTGAACCGACGTGAAGGGAAGGACCTTGCCGGTGGATACTGCTTTACTAGCCCAGGAGGAAGAAGGAAGGCTTCCTCCTCACCCAGCAACAGCCCAGCCAATGAGAAGCCACTATACTTCCAACTCCCAGTTTATTCCAATGGGCTTCTTGTTTACAACTGCCCCCCTTCCCTCGATAAAAGAGCCTTCCTGTCCTTCCACCTCTAGACTTGCCTATGGTTTTGCCAGAGCTTGCTTGTCCCAGGTTGCAATTCTCTGCTCTTCTTGAGTAAGCTCCCTTTTTGCTGGTAAAAAAAATGGGTAGGTTAATTTTTTTAAGGGTAACACTATCTACCTGGAGATAGCATCAGATCCCCCAGGGTAAGGGCTCAGTCCTACAAGCCTGCCCGCTGCATCAGATACCAATCGCAAGTACAGGTTGTTACCTATACCTCTTACTAACTGGCTATAAATCAAAGGTGCCTATGCCCCCCACCCCCCCACCCCCCGCCTAGGGTTCAGTTAATTTGCTGGAGCAGCTCACACGACTCAGGAAACCAGTTTACTCCCTCGATTACCAGTTTCTTACAAAGGATGCGAAAGGATATGTAAGGAGAGGTCCCAAACAAAGGAGCTTCTGTCCCCGTGGAGCTGGGGGCCCAGCATGGTGACATATGGAAGTGTTCTGGTTCACCAACCTGGAAATTCCCCAAACGCTCTCCTTTTGGGTTTTTATGGAGCCTTCATTACATAGGCATAGTTGATTAAATCATTGGCCATTGGTGATTGATTCAACCTCCAGCCCCTCTCCCAACCTGAGAGGTCAGCTGGGTGGAGCTGCCAGGTTCAACCTTCCAATCACGTGGTTGGTCTCCCCTGGCATCTAGTCCCCACCCTCCTGCTTTCCAAAACTTACCTCATTAACATAAGCTCATGTGTGATTGAAGGGGGTTTGTTATAAGCATCAAGACATATTTATCACTCTCATCACTTATGAAATTCCGAGGGTTTTAGGAGCTCTGTGCCAGAATCGGGGAGGAAAACCAAATATGCATTTCATATTCTAACACAGTGTCACACCAGGAGAAAAACAAGGTCAACAGTACACATTCCTAATTGGATGCTTCTCTTCAGGCAAGTCTGGGAGACACTGCTATTGCCAGGGAGTATCTGATAGGTGACTATCCGAATGAAGTAGTTTAGGATTCTTTCTGGGAAAGGCCTTCACAGAGATCACAAGGGGAGCAGAACTTTGGAGGAGGCTCCAGGAGGAGGAATCTCAGTCTGCGTCACAATTGTGTCAGCAACACCTTCAGGCAAAACCTTCCCCTTGAAGGTCCTTGTCCTGGCCCCAAGCTCTAAGAAACTGGCCTGAGGCTATATAGCTCACAGGGAATCTGATTTAGCAGCCGAAGACAAAGAGTTCATCGTTTCATTTTGAGGCCTTTGCTGCCTCAGTCCAGCTGGTGTTTTCCCAGGATTTTCTCAGCGGCGCGGCACAATCATTTCGTGACCAACCCTCCCTTTGGATCCCTCTCTTCAGAGTTTCCTCAACTCCTAAGCAGACCTCTTGTGCGGCGGTTAAACACTGTTATTGTCATTGTTCTCCTGTTTGTCCCTGAGGTGATGAGGGCTGGGTTTGGTCTTGTCCATGCTTGCAGCCCCAGGATGTAGCATTGGTGCCTCATGTGTTATAGCCAAGTGCTTATGGTGGGCTGATCTGTGAAACTGTTGAAGGTTTGCTTCCCCTACTTGACTGGGAGCTCATTGAGGGCAGGCACAGGTCAATGTTCTGTATCCTCATGTCCTCGCCTCACGCCGTGCAGGGTCATGGGTCAGCAGTTGTTTATTGAAAAGCAAATGATTTCCCTTTTTGGTAGAGCCCGTGTTAGCTACTTCAGGAGAGAGGTGGTCTGCTAGGCATCAGCATGGACAGTCTTGGGATTAGGACTCAGGGAGAACTGATTGCTCATAGCCTTTATAAAGGTGAGCAACTTTTGATCCCCAGGTCAGTTTGAGAAAGGCCTTCTGAGAGGAGTGGGGGATATTGCTCAGCTCTCCCGTTACCTTGAGACAGGGGCTGGGACTGGAAGATGTAGCTCAAACAGGGGGGAGCATCAACACGGCTTCAACTGCATTCTCCTTGGTTGACAATCCAGACACATGGCAAATTCAGGCATACAAAGGCATTGGAGGCCATGCCTTTAATTCTAGACTGTTCAGACATAATTGCATTGCTATTCCTTTTGGAAGCCTTTGCCCAGAGCTCCTCTCCTGTTCATTCTTGCCATGGCTCATTGGGGCGGGGGGGGGGAGTAAGTAATAGGAATCATAATAGCAGGCATTTGGTGGCAGAGAAGAGAGACAGTTTGAATTGCCTAGAGTACTTTTTGCAAAAGAAGGAACTGATTTCCACTGTCCCACCAATTAGCTATATGACCTTGAGCAAATCCTTTCTTCATCCCAGGCCTCAAAATTCACCCATCTGTACAATGAGGTTGCTGGACCACGACAAGTCTGTGGCAGTCCTGGCCAGAAATATCTGTTCAAGGTCCTGGAAATAGACTTTCTCCTGCCATGATTCCTCACCCAAACTTACAGAATCAACCACAGAAACATGGTTCTGTAGTTCTCGTCCCCTTCACCCAATGACCCATATCAGAAAAATAAAAATTACGAAATGACCAATTAGTCAAGAACATTTACTGAATTGCCTGCTAGATGTCAACACTATGTATGAA